GAGCAACTTCCAGTAGATGAGTATTGGGGACATAGAATACATGCTTGGGTAGCAATATTACCAGAATTAGGTGGACTGAGGGATCAAGAAATTCCTTGTCCATTATTTATTGAGCCTACCACTGGTACATCTTACGAAGTTACAGACGACGATACAGCTCAATTGTACCTCGGTGTAGAAAGTATATGGAACGATCAAAATTATTGGGTAAATATGCAGGTATCTGTACAATCGTGCGTAAACATAGAATGGGATTTAATGAAAGTAAAATTGTGGGAACATTTGCTTCCTGGAGAACCATGGACAACACATGCAGGAGAGATTGACGAGGAATCTGCTATACGTCAAGAAAAACATTTGGATATGCCATCATCATACGTTAATCAAATAAATATTAGCGAAGAAGGTATAAAAAATTTTCAATTATAAAATATAAGTTTAATTATAAATTTTTAAATATATTTTTATGTTTTGTTTATATTTCTCGAATTTTTATTTTATCTTCTAGAATTTGAGAAACGATTCCCAAACGGTATAAAAATAGTATTATATAAAAAAACAAAAGTTGAATTTTATGCACCATATATTCAAACAGATGGATTGATACAAAGAATTACTACATATGATAATGACATGAATCCTATCGATATATATGAAAATTATAAAAATAGATCTGATAATCTTATAGAATCACGAAGAAATATGATTGACGGTACCGTCATAGATTATTATACAAGAGGTCGAGTAGACCAGTGTAAAGGTGTATAATTTATGAACATAATTATTTTTCACATTTATTTAATTACTAATGTAATATATTTAATTAATTTTTCATTAATAAAATAAAATTTACAGAACATCGATATTTTTTATGGAATAATGTCAATGTAGATAGTGAGCGAATTTTAGATTTTTATTATGTTGCTCGTTTTGATGGATTATCTAAATTTGAAATGCATCCAACTTATTTAACGCAACATTTTGTCGATCGTGATGATTTTCTATATTATCGGTAAGCGATAACTCGTAAATGAATAATTAAGATATAAATTATTAAAAATGAAATATGATATCATAACCAGAGTTTCGATCAACTTGAGAACAGGCATGTAGAATTTTTACAAGACAAAAAAGGTGAAACTCAAGATATTCATTATCGACATATTTCGGTAAGATAAAATTTTATAAAATTTTTAAATAAGATAAAATATAATATAGATATAAAATGTATTTTTATATCATTTGATTCATCAATTGTAAAATAAATGATTTCTAGTTACTTATAAAAAGCAAAATTATTTAATTAAATGACATCTTTTTTATAATTGATATTTTACTTCGTATGATATAAAGTTTAAAAAAATCTTAATAAAACTTTGTCTATAATTTTTAAAATATTATAAATGATTTTTCACATGAAAATAGATTAAGTTTAAAATATCTGAATAAATTTGCAGAAGATTGTCGAAAAATTTAATAGAGATGAACGAATAAAAGCAAGTAAAAATATAGCGATCCGTGAATTTGCTATTGATGATAACGAAATACATCTTACTTATCATTATTATCCAGGCAATTTTACTAGAGCTTTGCGAACATATATAAAACCACCATTAGCAGAAAGAGGAGAACGATTAGATCTTAATCCAACAATGACATATGGATATAATGTGAGTATTTATCAATATCAAAAAATTTATTAAAAGATAATTTTATTATCTTATTTGTAGCCTCTAAATGAACCTGATAAGGCTTTAGATTTACTATACGAACTAGACACACAATTAAAGGAGGAGGATATATCTATATCTCAAGTTAGAGCGGCGGAAAAAGAAATGTTTTCTTTTCTCGAGATAAGAAAAAGTGAATATTTGACGCCAAAACTGTTGATATCTATATATGATAAACTTAGAGAATCGGAATCTCTAATAGAAGCATTGGTAATATAAAAAACAATAATAATATAATTTTTTTTAAATTAATTAATTAAATGTATACATTATAAATACAGAAGAAACAAAGTCTAAAAGATATCACGGAAGAAATAAATTATTTAAAACCATATTTAGCTCGTTTAGGAAATCCATCGGAGTTATCAGAAGCTGAGGCATACTTAATACAATATGCATGTATTCGTGATTACAAACAATTACTTGTACGTAGGGCGAATAAAATCTTACATGAATTTGAGAAATATTCGCAGGAATTGGTGAAAATGCAAGCATTGATATTACAGGTAAAATTTTATTTTCTATCATATATTTATTTGATATATATATATAAAATATAAGATAGAAATATCATTCTACAGGAAGAAGATTTAACTCGCGAAGAAGAAGAAAAAATATTAGAAAAAATAAATGAAATAAGTTTTTATTTACAAACTTTAGAAAACAGATTAAATCGTCATAGAGATTTGGTTCCTATAAAATATAAAATGTTAATGAATAATTTACAACAAAATCCACATCTTGCGATAATTAAAGAAAGTTTAATGTATTTTTGAAAAAAGCAGGTGTACAGTAAATAATTTATTTTATTGAAAAGACCAAGAACCCATTTGTCCAATACATCGACCTAAAATAATTTTATATTGTAAAAATCTTAAATTTTTAAGAAATTTTTGTACGTTATCTACCTTCATCATCAAAAGTGGCTAATGTAAATTTACTAAGTTTATTAGTAAAACTTCCAGTATTGGAACCAATCATATGGTCTGTTAAACGATCATTATTCGCAATATCACTATTATTTCTATGACGACGATGTTCTTCGGCAAAGCCAGAAATTAATATATCCATCATTATTGCCTTATAATAAAATAAATTTTAGTAATTTAAATTATTAAAGTTAACTTTTTTAGAAATAAGTCATACTTGTCTTGAGAATACTTGTAGAATTTTATAAACTTGTGTTCCATTTTCTCGCACAGGAAACTGTAAAAATAAACATGGCAGACAATCTGGATTATTTTCATCTGAAGGTTTCGCCATTTCCCAACTTAACTCTGAATATCTTAGACCCAATAATAAACTCTATAAAAAAATTATTTGTAATATATTATATAAATGATAATTATCATGTATAATATTTTTATTTCTTACACATTGAATATCGTCCACAATATATACTCCTGATGAATTAATAGCAACGAGTATATGCATATCACGATTTGTAATCCAAGATGCAAGGCCTCTTACAGGACGTTCAATTTGTCCTTGAAAAAAAGCCGCACCATAACATGGTAAATTCCAGCAAAACTCTAAGTATTTTCTAATTAGTTTCCTCGAATTCGTATTAGTTCCTGTGTGATTAGGTATTCGTTTGTATTGTTCAAGTAGACGAGCTTCAGGTGCTCCTTTTCCGCCAACTAAGCCTAAACCAACACCTAATCCTAATAAGAGACTAGGAGATGTATAATGATGAGGCAAAAATCGACCACGATATCTTCTAAAAAATGCTAATGTATGATTTTGAGGATTATATGGACCCAGTTCAATACGTGCTTGCAAAGCTCCCAAACTTGCATATCGTGCCTGTCCTTCGCATGGATAACGTCCTAAAACATAAACAAATATTATATAGAACAATGAAATAATTAAATAATTTATTACCTTGCAATACATTATTTCTGGCTTCTGCATACAATAATTCTAATACTTTAGTTTCTTTTATTTGCTCCTCATCTGATCGAGAAAGAAACACGTTTCGTCTAAGACATAACAAAGGTTCTTCATCTGTTTGTTCTTTTTGAGAACTATATTTTTTTACTAAACGTTTCCATTTTGCAGCCAATTCTATAGGTTTGTGATTCGGACGTAATTGAACCTCTAATCTTGAAGAACAAAGCCATAAAGCAAAAACTGTTTGACCAGTAAATGAAGGAGTTCTTGTTAATCCTAACTCTCCTTCGGATTGTATCATTGCAAGGATTTGATGTGCAGTAGAATTAGATTCAATGTCCATTGTTAGAAAAATTCCAGTTGTTAAATATATAGCTATTCTTACAATAGATCTTCCAACATTTATATATTGTGATTGATTTATTATCATTGCTAAATGAAAAATCATAAAAAAAATATTTTTAACAATTGAATGCTTATATAAAAATATTGTTACTTACAAGTTGAAGTATGTCCATCAGATTTGAAATCATTTTGATAACGTCGAATAGATTGTCCTCTCCTAATTGCACAATCTTCTTGAGTTTCCATAGTTTTAAATTTTTGTTTAATTATATGTAAAATATGTATTTCTATTCATATTTTTTATTTTTATAATATTAATATTAATATTAAGCACATTCTTCAATATTTATTATTATCATATCTTCAAGAGATTATTAAATAATAATTATCAAATAAGTATAAGACATAAATTGTTGATATAAATGAATTTACTAAGTTAAAAAATAAAATTAATATCCAGTAATTTTTTCTTAATCACAATAAATAAAACTATACAGCAAGTTTTAATCAATCTTTGAATATACTCAACCAAAATACTGCTCTGCTGCCATCTAAACTAAGAAGCAGATTATTGATTATTTTTGTTCTCAAAAAAAGAACTATATATCTCAATATAAATAACGTTTATGAATGTTAAAAAATATAATTAAACTAGAAAATAAGATTAAATTAAAATATATCTTTTTGATATATTTTATTATCTATTATGATAAAGACATAAATATAATATTAATTTTATATTTATCAGAAAGTTTATTGTGTTTTATAAAATTACTTAATTTTTATTAGTTGAATATTACATTTTACATATAACAGAAATGGGATATTTTATAAAGAGTCTTGTACTCTCAGAAGAATACTGCCATTTTAACTGTTTTCAATCAAAAAGAACACTTTAAAAATGTAATTTTCAGAATATTTAAATAAAAATAATTTCTTTTTTTGCATAATAATTCTTATTTAATAAAAATTTAAAGTTTAACATTATATTAAGTCTGCTACATTCATAGGCATTTCGTCAATCTGTGTTGAATAATATTGTTCGATATCTCGAAGAATTCTTATATCATCAGTTTTTACAAAATTGATGGAAACGCCTTTTCTTCCAAAACGTCCTGATCGTCCTATTCTATGAATATATAATTCACGATTGTTAGGTAAGTCATAGTTTATTACAAGAGATACTTGCTGAACATCTATTCCTCTTGCCCATACATCAGTTGTGATTAACACACGACTAGAAAATAATATAAATATTATAAATTTTATTTACAATGTTTATACTATATATATACTATATATTATAACTATGACAATACCTTTGTCCAGATCGAAATTCTTTCATTATGTTATCCCTTTCTTTCTGAGGCATATCACCATGCATAGAACAAACTGTGAAATTAGCTTCTCTCATTTTTTCTGTCAACCAATCTACTTTACGTTTAGTATTACAGAAAATTACTGCCTGAGTTATTGTCAATGTATCATATAAGTCACATAATGTATCAAATTTCCATTCTTCTCTTTCAACAGCCACAAAAAATTGTTTTATTCCTTCTAACGTCAATTCATCACTAATAGTAATAATGAATTATATTTATAATTTTAATAAAAACAAATAATTTTTTTCAATTTTAAGTAATTTGAACTTACCGTTTTACAAGAATACGAATGGGATCTGTCATAAATTTACTTGTCATTTCAAGAATTTCATGTGGTAATGTTGCAGATACTAATACAACTTGTGTTGCGGGTGGCAAATATCTATATACATCATAAATCTGTTCTTTGAAACCTTTATTTAACATTTCATCAGATTCATCAAGAACTAACATTTTTATAGCTCTTGTTCTAAGAACTCTTCTTTTTATCATATCTAAAAATCATTAAAAAATTAAAATAATAAATCTATAATTCTTATAATATTTTTATAATTCTTATAATATTTTTTTATAATGAAAACGTTTTTACTTCTGTATCAAAAAAATTTAATATTGTTATTATCTTTTATATTTAGAGAAATTGAAAGAAATAATTAAATTAATAACAAATTTTTCATATGTTCAAATTACCAAATACTCTTCCAGGTGTGCCTGATACGACATGCTGTCCATAATCTAATTTTCTAATATCTTCTCCAAGATTTGTACCACCTATACAAGCATGACATTGAACATTCATAAAGTCTCCTAAAGCCAGAATAACTTTTTGTATTTGAGTTGCCAATTCTCTTGTAGGCGACAAGACCAATACTTGTGTTTCTCGAACTTGTGTATCCAAAGATTGTAATATAGCAATTGAAAATGTTGCCGTTTTTCCTGTACCAGATTGAGCTTGTGCAATTACATCTCGTCCTTTCATAATTGGTTTAATAGATCGTTGTTGAATCGCAGAAGGTTTCTCAAAACCTATAATTAGAATATTATTTTATAAATATAAATTATAAAAAATAGTACTGAATATCCTAAAATAATAAATATAAAATAAAGTATAAGGTTATGTTAAGTTAACAAAAAGATTTCAATAATACCATAAGCATAAATTCCACGTAATAGCTCATCTCTGAGTCCCATATTATCGAATGTTGGAATAACTTCTACATCTTCACTAGTTTCAAATTCAACGTTTGATAAATCTTCTGTTTGCGCGACACGACGTGATTTTATTTCCGCCATTTTTATAATATATGAAGACAAACATGAATGATTTGAAGATAGTAAAAGTTCAAATCGAATAAATAAATTAAATATATAAAGAAATTTTTATAAATTACTAAAAATAAAATTTTATTGTTTTATAATATATAATAAAAAAATTAATATATAAATAAAATTTTTAACAGTAAAGCTATTTTTAACAAAATTTTCAATTAAAAACAATAATGAATATGGCTTTAATATAGTTACTACATTCACTTAATTGCTATATTCACTATTTGTAGTAATAAACGCTTCTGAAGATATTTTATAATCGTGAATAATTAATTTCATTAGTTGGTAAATATTTAATTATATTATATAAATATTTTGATATATAAGTAATGTGTTCATAAAAATAAATTCATAAATATACATTTTTACAAAAATATATATACAAAATACGGATCTGTCAATTAGGTTAAATTTTAACATATTTAAAGTATCAAAAAGCAAAAGTTAAAATGAATATTAATGTAACTTTAGATGAACCTTTAACAAGTAATAATTGCGTAAAACTTGTAATTGAACTTCTAAAGTATATTTTATATCAAAAACAACAAATACCTTTTACTTACGATTCACTATCTCAATTACAAATGAAATCAACTGATAGAAATTTGTCTTCTATAAAAACATTATTAAGTACTCTGAAGACCACATCAGAGCAATTAAATTTACAATTTCATCTCAAAAACTGCAAAATCAAAGAAATTGCTATACTTATTGGTGCTACAATAATATCACCAAAATTACATGTTAGGATTATATTTCCTTCTGATATTCTTAATAGTCAAGAACATTTTGAATGTAAACATGCTTCTAGAAAACCTCTCTTAAATTTAATGAGGTTAGTGAAAAAATTTTTATATAATATTATTCTAATATATTATATAAATTTTTACATAATATTCTATTATCTTTTATTAAAATATTATAACATTTCAAAATTTTTAACATTGCAGATCAATGCTAGAATGTTCAGAATTTCAAGATGCACTGACTTTACCATTGAATCCTACAAATACCTTTGTGTTAATACAAAAAAGTGATAATAATACAGTATCAGATTTTTTTTTACCTAAACCACAATACATACCTCCCATACATACTTCAAACTATTTTATAATTAAATTACAATATAATGATCAAAGAAAACTAAATTGTAATTGCATAGATATAGTGAAAGTTTATAATGAAGTATCGGAATCTAATATTGAGTCTAAAAACAAAGATATTGAATTTTTAAATAATTCAAGAATTAATACCACACATATGTCCTATCAATGGTATCAATCCAAAGAAGTAATTAAAGGATTTAAATTTTTAAGATGACTATAGATTATTAATAAAATCAATATTCATAGGAATTAAAAATAGCAAATTTTTAATTAATATTATATAATAGATTTATTTTTAAAAATCAATGAAAAATATTTTATTATGAAAATATGATTTTAAAAATATAAATAATTGCAAATATTATAGTAGATTATATCTTAGAATTTTTTAAAATAAAGTGTTAAAATTTATTGATTTATACATTGAAATTGATTATAAATAAAATAATATTATATCATGTGAAAACAATTACAAATATTTTTTATACTTTTGTACTTTTATTCTTATACACAAGTTTACATAATGTATATAAAGTTTACGCAAAAAATAAAAAATTTTCTTATATAATAATATATTGAATATTATTCTTCCTTTACTTCATATATTCTAATTTTTAAAATTTTAAAATCAATGACTAGTATCATCCTTAAAATTAATATTATCAATCCACCTGACCAACTACACATCATTATAACTGTAAATATCTTAGAAGAATATATATTATATAGAAATAAATCTTAAAAAAATATTAAAAATTAAAACTCTATATACAGAATATTACCTGAAGATATGAAATTATATGACACACATCATATATATAAAAATTATGCATTTTCATATATATCTTTATTATTTCACAATCACTGTAAATAAACTTTTATGATGAATTATATAAATTTAATCTAAAATAAAATTTAAGTTTAATACCTTATATTCATAGGCATTTTGCAAATACTATATATCTCATAAGAAACATTTTTGATACCATCATTAAATGACTTATATCCTTGTTGTAAATTATAATGTGCATACATTGATATAATGGCAAATATAAAATTAAAGCATATTGCAGGAAATACAATTCTCCAAGGACTTTCATATCTGTGTATAAATATAATTGTATTTATTGTATTTATAGTGATAAGTAATGTATATAATTGAAAAACAAATTGACTTGCATTGGTATATCTTGTCCTCCTTTACCACACATAAGAAATAAAGTAAACCAAACAACTCCAAATATACAAGATGAAAAGCATGTTATTAAATACATTTCACATGTATTTTCATGTATATAGTCAGTAAAAATATATTTCCACCAATCTAATAAATGATTTTTACATATATCACGAATATCATCTAATTCCAATTTCTCTTTTGATATTAGAACAGATGTTGCCCAAAGTGGACAGTTATCTCCGAAAATTTCTTTCTTTATATTTTATAATAAAATAATTGAATTATAATTAAAATATTATAGAAAATAAATAAAAATTATTATTAGTTATACCCATAATATGTAGAATAAAACGCTACAGGTATATCCGCTAATTGTGCATAATAAGTATAGAAACATTTGTAGATATTTCCACAACCAAGAAATTTCAATCGCATCACGTTCAATAAGTTCTTGATATTCTTCTAAACATTGCATCGAGAATTCCTACATAAATAAAAATATAAATTGTAATTTACAATTATTACCATACCGGTAATTAATATAATTGCGCGCCAAACTTCAACCATATCAAAAAACATGAATCTGATTGGTCTATCAAAACAAACAAAATTCAAATGATAACAAAATAAACAAATTCAAAGAATTGAAAAATCACTTTACAATACAGTACAAATTGCAATTTCATATAAAAATTAATAAATAATTAAAATTTAATAAGAATACATATTGTTCCTAAAATTTAAATAGTATAAATCTATTAATATATTTAATGCTAATTGAAAATGACATCTAACTTAGATTTTCTATGAATATCAAATATAGTAGATTCAATATAACTTCATAATTTGAAGGAAGTGTTGCAGATTGATCGTGGGAGTTGGACCAAGAAACGGAGGAACGCGCGGACTGCGAACCGCCACAGTGTTGTCGACGAGAAGGATACACGAAGGCGAGAAATTCTTGTTTTTTTTTTTACATCCGAACATCGAAAATCACGAGGAAAATGATGGTAGATGTATATTCTAAAGGGTCATCGAACGAATAAACTCAATTGCCATAGACACGTAAACCATTCGTGGGTGAAGTGAAACACATGTGTCGGTCAAACCGTGTTTTCTACTATAGAGTGTCCGTCCCGTGTTTGATCCGTGAAAATCTTCCGTTTGAAAAATCAATTTGTACGCTGGTTATAATAATTTGCGAAATATTAACATGCTTGCTTTTGAATAAATTTATGAATGTGACGATCCGCTTTTTCGAAATGAAATAGAATTCATTACAGAAGGCGGCAGTGCGTGGGTGGGTGGGTGTCTAGCGATTACCACTTATGTAGAGAAAATTCCTTTTGGAATTTTGCACAAAATGTTATTTTTGAATCAATGATAAAGTGCTTTTTTATTCGATAATATTCTATTCTATCGATATATATTAATTGGCACATTATCCAGACAAATGTTTTTGGGCATAAGAAAAAATATATTAGTTAAATTTCAGAATAACGTTGCTCTTACTGTCAGTTTTTGACCAATGTCAATTTGACAGTTTTAAAAATATAAGATCAATATGAATTTATCTCTTTGTTGTTATTAACTTTGTTAATTTTGAAAGAAACTTAAATATTCTGCTATTATTAACATTGTTGTTGAATAATTCTTTCTTGCATAAGCAATTTTTTTTTATTATATCTGATAAGTTTCATCAAGTGTTCTTATAAAAAATGCTTTCCTTAAACTGTGAAACAAAAATACTTTAGCAAATTTCTTTAAAATTATTATTTATAGCTTTAAGAGAAGGACTTAATTAAAGTCCTGTCTCTTTTATTAATTTGATATTAAGAGGCTAAAGTATGAAAGGTCAAGCGGAGAAAAATGGATATCGATAAAGTATCAGCATGCGTGAGAAGTCAGCAGAATGTCATGCTCACGCAGGTCACGTGAGGGGCACAACAGAAATGTGCTCACGTGATCCTCCTACATTACACTCAACTCTTACCAAGGCAAATGGTAAAAATTCAAATCCCCAATCAACACATCATTCAGAAGCACGTATTGATAATAATTTACTTCCAACTCCTGGTGGACGATTAAAATTTTTTAAAGACGGAAAGTTTATTTTGGAACTATCCCATCGTAGGGATGGAGAAAGAACTACATGGTTTCCAGTTCCAAAGAAAACCTTTTGGCCACCAGCTAGCACAACTCCAAATAGACAAGAGAGTTCTACCTCTCTTAGTGGTAAGTTAAATTTTTATAATATTTTTAATAAAATTAATTAAATTTAATATTATATTTACTTTATATTATAATATATTATATTATATACTTATATTTTTCAGTTTCTGATGATAATTCGTCAGTACAATCAAGTCCTTGGCAAAGAGATCATTGTTGGAAGCAAGCAAATCCAAGACGTAGAATATCTACAGAGTTTAGTTTTTATTATTATAGAAATCCAAAAAATCGTCTGTATGCGCATCCTCGCTTAATCGCAAGAAAGCGTAGACGTCCATTAGATCCTACTTCTTTGTTACTCATTCCAGAATCAGTAACAAATTATACTAAACCAATTCGTAAAGCAAATAGTACATCAACTGGAAAGGTTTTGAACCTAATTATTGACAAATTGGCACGTCTTCTAGATCCTAATGTCGTTTCACCTCGTAAACGTATTTTGCGTGAATTAGAAAGAGTCTCATTAGAAGATCAAGCATCAAAAAGACGCGCAACACCACAGCCAGTTTGTACAACAGCTCCTACTCCGTCACCAAAACAATTATCTTCATATAGTATAACGAGTATTTTGGGAGAAGATAACCAAGTCATGAACAAGGTTTTTTGAGGAATTTATTAAAACCTGATGAGAGGCAAACTGTGAAATACTCATCAAGTAACTCATATCCAAGAGTACGAATGGATCCATACATTGGTACAGCTAATACACCTCTTCAGCATCCACTTTATGGTGTACCGATGTTACCTCCTGGACCATATAGGGCTCCTTTATGGATGCATTATCCATCACCCGTCCATTATCCACCTCCTATGCCATTATATGCGCCACCACCACCTCATCCATCATCTCCTCCAGTTCATCACTACAAAGATTACAGGGAACAGACTCTTACACCTCCTTCAGGTAAATGTTTAAAAATATATCGTTCGATATTTATTAAATATATCAGAAAATTTATCTTATTTATATCTCATTTAGATATGCCTCTAAATCTGTCGAAGCATGCGGGTTGAATCTCAGGATCCTAAAAGTTGGTGCCTTATCAATGGATAAAAACTGCGCAAACACTGCCCGTGCAACGACAATGCGATATATTAGTATTTTTTTATTCGTAAACAGTAGTATCATAGTAAGTAGAAATATGCATCTAGAAAGACAAAAACTGGATGCTATTCTTGTACATATAAATGCATAAAGTATAGAAATTGGCATAAATATTTTATATTAATCTTAAATTAAATCACACACATGAGTAGTATTATATTATTTTAATTATAATTAATCTTGTCTTATGTATTATGTTCATTTTTTTTTTATTAATTATTGGTAAAATATTTTAATATGATTTTCTCACTATATGAAATCCATGAATGTGTTCACATTGTAAAATTTGATTATTTTTACTACTCATGATATAAATATTAAAATAAAAAGAAAAAAGAGCATGCTCTCATTTTACATCTCATTTATGCATTATCTTGTTATTCTTATTAATATTTCTGTCATTATTATCATTAATCAATGACTATCCATTTTAAAAAATCATAAGAAAGACATAGAATTATGTACAGAACAGATTATTCTCTATATTTAGTATAAATATTCCTACAAATAGTAATATGATAATAAATTTAGATTAATGAAATCCGCAACAGTATACATTTATTTATATGATTAATGAACAAAAAATGAAATTGCTTGATAAAGACCGTGGGGTGTGCCTTAAGATTACCTAAATTGCAAAAAACTAAATTATAAACACATTCATATAATGAATATGTATTATTATTACTACTATTACTATTGTGTACATATAAATATAATTTTGCCTTACGTATCCTCAAATCGATTATTCGTTACTATTTATTGTTAGTCAGATACATTACCAAACGTTTTACGTGAAAGGCAAGCTCACACAGGCTCTACAAACTAGTGAGTAATTTTAATTCATTTACGTACATTTTTTATTAAAACAGATAAAATGTGACTGCGCGTAAGCAATTGTATAGAAAGACTAATTTCGTAAATATATAAATATTTCATATACTATATGAAAGCTTTTCATTTATCGTCACGTTATATATTTTTGTGTTTATTCGGTTTTATAAAATATCTTTTATTGTAAATATATTTATAAATCTAAAGTAAGTTTATATTTATTTAATAAAAATAATTAATCCTTCCTAAATAAACACATATCGTAAAAGAATTTAAATTTCGCGGTTATTGAAAAGTGCGCCGACAAATTGGCATTCTATCATCTAACTATCCCCACTCTTGAGTAACAGACGCTTTCGAGACCGCGCAATCGTCGGATCTTGGTAGTATCCGATTCGTGGCCTTGTTTTGTGGTATTCGTTGACCGGGTTGTATCGGTCTGATTACGTGTTTTCTATCAAAAATTCGTAAAAATAGAATTTTATAATGAAGCGGAACGAATGAATAACGTGTAGAGATCGTGATCATATATTTTAATGAACTTTTGCATGTACGCGATTTTAAAGAAAGCAAGTGAATCCAACTCTAGTAGTGGGGAGCAAACAGTATTGCCTTTTCGTATATGTAGCCCGCTTGGTAAAATGAAAATGGCGGTGTTCCTGCATGAACGGAGCAACGGCCACTGACGATGCTCGTTACGATAACGAACACGTGAATCGAATTCAGTGTGAAATTTTTACATATCTTGTGCACATTTATAAATATTATAGTGTTATATCAATATTGGGAAACAAGTCAATGTAAATAAAAAAAGGTAGCGCGAAATTCTTTCCACGATTAGGGACAAACAAACACGATGGAGTGACACCGTGAAGTGTTAACTCCGTGGACAAGTGGGAAGTGTCGGCTAATAGATTCGCGTAGTTGGAGGACGAAAAGCCTTCATGCCGATGCCGGCCGAATACCACGAGAACCACGGTAACCACGAGAACGCCAATTTCGCTCTCGGGGCCACACAGGACGCCAGCAACATGACGGCCAATATGTACCGGGTGGGAGGTAAAATAACCATATACACATTTCGCCGGCTGATGAGGCCACGCGTCGAATTTTGAGCTATGTATCTTTAATAAACCCAAAAAATCTATATTTCCAATTAATATCACAATAACATTTTCTATATATATTTTTTTTATCTGTACAGCCTCTTAACTTTTCATCTTTTGTCTAATCTCTTTCTCCCCGCTCTTTTCTGGTATCCCTATGTATGCTGCTTTCCTTCTGCTCCCTCTTTCCCCACTCTCGCCCTTCGTTCAGGTCATACTAATTTCTTGCATGATGATTCGGATGATTAAAATTCAATATTTGAAAATTTCTGTTTTTTCTTTTGTTTTCTATTATACGAATTATTTCGTAATATGTCCACTAGAATGTTTTCGTATCAAAGATCTAAAGAATTAAAATAATTTGTACAAAATTATCTTTTTGTTTTTTTTAATTATATATATGCAAT